AAAAAGCAGCTCGATTGCTTCCGGGCTATGACCAAGAGCCTAAAATTGCTGCGGCCATTCATTGAGGTCCTTGAGCCAGCTGATATTCCATCTTGGATCTAATATCGTTGCAAAGAAGTTTGCATTCTGTTTAAACGCCAGCTTGATATATTTCTTGAGTTTGCGTTGCATGGCCTGTGCCACCGGTTCCAGTTGCTTTGCATCATATGTGCGGTAGACCTACCGACCGGACTCCTAGTTGAAGTTCCACCTCCGCCAATGTAAGTGGTGAAGTTGTTGATCTAGCGCCCAATAGCAGCGACGGAAGTTTCATGGACTCCGTTCTAGTGACTAGCTTGTAAAATGCCGTTCTCTCTTTCCGTTTATGCGTGAGGATAATGGGTTCCGTTGCTATCGGTGCTGGACCGCGCAATTTACCTGTCGATTGTCGGTGCTTTTCCTCAGATGTGAGAGGCAATCATCGGTGGGCCCATGTCCAACCTGAGAGTTCTTTGTTAAATCGACCATGGTTGCTTGCATAAGCTGAGTCACTATTACGCTCTGGTTTAACTTTACTTTCCAAATCGTGGTCGTCCTCCATGAGCACTGGTATAATCCGGACGTGGATGCAGATGCCGCATTCGTAACCATTTGTTTTTCCCACTGTGACCGTCCCCCTTTGTTCGACTTCGTTAGCCACGGTTGCTTGGGTGTAGGGGCCGATTCCGGTTGCAGATGGATATACTTTGATCCTTGTTCGCCTGAGGAGTGCGGATGGTGTTTTGGATCACTGGTACCCCTGACGTAGACTCTGTAACGTTGGCGGACCGTGTTGGCGTTACTGCTGCCTGGGCTGCCCCTTCCGCCTCCATCTGGAGCTCAAGTCGTTGGGCCGCCATAGCTTTACTTTCTGCACGACTGGAAAAAGGTTTTTCTAAATCTACGAGATCCTGAACGTCCTCTTCAGTCACCTCAATGCCTCCGGGACCCCGCAGTTGGTCTTCTGTGAATCGACAGCGAGCTAGGGTGTGACCTAGGTTACCACACTGCAGGCATTGAATGCGATGACCGACATTGGGGTGTTTGACGATAACGGTTGTGCCAACCCAAAGTATTTTGACCACCCCATTTAAAAAGTGGGACATCCTGCCAGCTTGAAAGCGACCTTCCAAATTGTGGACGTCCGTTGAATCCGGGGTATGAGTATCCAAATTTTACATATCGAAATCAGTCGGATTTTTCGCCTTCAAGAAAGCTGCAATGCGACCGATATCGTTGATTCGGGTAAGGTTGTGTAGCTGCACCGTGTATTCCACCTGTCGCCCGGTAGATGTGCCATTAAGACCTGTGGTAAAGTGGGATTCGAAAAATTGCTGATGCGATTCCAGTTCTCCACTCGCGCCCGGACGACCGACTAACGGAGGGGATACCCCGATTCCGTGTATAAAGCCTTCATCACCTTGTGTACCCGTCGGTAGGGCGGGTTGCTCTCTTCGGTGGACTTAAGTCGATGTTGATCTTAATCGAGTTAGGGATAGGGGCTTTGATGATCTTGTGAAAATCTTCACAAGATCGATCGAGTACTTGTTTGTTGATCGTACCGATAGATCCCAATAGTCCAAAAAAGCGAAGCTTGAATCTTTTGGCCACTTGAGCAGAACCTTCTGACCACTTGATCCGTCCTGCACTTGCTTGCCTTGCCCTTACTTGTTATTTCTGCGTCCGATCGCAGTTGAGTTGTTGTGTTGAGAATTCCTTCACCTGGCCAAAACAATCCAGGGTGCACTTGAAGTCGATATTCTCGGCGTCGGGAGGCCAAATATCCTGCCCGGAAGAGAAGTCGACACGTATACTTAGAAGCAAATTGAACTCTGTTAATGTAACCAATCAAATACCAAAACCTATGATCTTGCTTATCTGTAGCTCAGGATCTATTGCCACGTATCGCCCTTTCGGAAAAATAAGATCTTGTAATGTGGTCCACTCCAATATCGCCGCGATCTGGATCGCTACCTCGATTGGATCTAATACCATTTAAGTATCGGATCGCGGTACTTATTTTAGTATCGGATCGCGGTCCGCTAGATCGCGACTTGTCCTCTTCACCGTTCCTCGGATCATGTGAAATGGTCCATCTATATGACATGTCATGTCCACCTCATTCCAGTCCTCCATAGCGACGTGATCTACACCAGACCGTCTTCCACATACTTGGATGTACCCATCCTCCTTCTTAGCGATCGCGTTCACGCGGATCGCCATCGAAAAATACCGGAGATCGCAGTTGCGTAGTTCTAGGCCATAGTTAATTCCACATAGAACTGCGAACTCCACCATTCACTGTTTTCCATCCCATTTGCAATCGTCTCGAAACTTCTTCTGCGGAATCGCGATTCATCAATATTGACCATTTCGGACTCAACCAAAAATATGTGATCACACTTTGCCAAATTCACTCTTTCGCTTCGCCACAGACTCTGTCGTCGGAGCCAAACCGATCCCTTCTCTGGCCTGTGGGCATTTTGAAGCCGATAAACGCCTCTATATTACGGCACTCGCACCTCTTGGTGCTGTTCCGCCGTTTTCCTAGTAAAAAGTAGAAATGGATTAACTTGTTTACTTGGTCATAGCTAATTGTCTGCGTCTGACTTAGCATGCGATGTAGTCCGCCGATTTCAAAATTCCTTCCGTAATTGCTTTGGTAGCCTGCCTGCTCACCTTGACCACACAAGATTTATCCAAGTGTTAAATCAATTCACCTTCCACTTAAGCTTGGATGGTGCTATACAAACGTAGCCTCTCCTCACGATTCAGAATATGTTTGAGAAAATCAGGCATGAGACGACACGCCACCGTGCCTTCTACTAATCAGACGATTATCGCCCATTCATCGTCGGAACCCTCCCGTACGTATTTTTGCCGTGCTGGGGATGATGGTGCTGCACACAGCGCTTTCAATCGTTCGATTTTGCGCACGAAAACTTCGCGGGATCGAGCATAAAAATCTTAGAAGACTGAGGTTCTGCGCGCACCGGTGGACGACGTGGTGACGACCCTCCACATTGAACTACTTGAGTCCACTGATTTAGACCGGAAAGTGGGCCCACTTGTGCCTGCTAACTAGTCGTCGAACAATCTCCTTAAACACCCACTTTGTGGTCAGCAGCCCATGCGTGATGGACTTAGCCATAATTTTCCACTCCACAAAGTTCCTTTTCCCTTGACAAAAACTTGTTCAAACAGGCCTAATAAGCTAGCTGCCTCTGCCTCACTCAGGGTAGGAAAGCGTTTCCTCTCGGTAGGCAGTGCCTCTGATTTACACGGAATTGACGTGTAAATGTCCGCAAATAGCTGACGCACTGTCTTGCGCCATGGGTCGACCTGTCCTACGCTAGGCGAGTCGATCATGCCTTCTACTAGTGCCGTGAACATATATTTTGACGATGCGCGTAGCGGTACTGGCGACGGCGCGACTGGTGCTTTGCCGGTGTGTGCTGCCTGAGTTGGGGCAACAGTTTTACCATCACTATCAGTGGTACCATTGGTCCTCCGTGTAGCCGTTGACGGGAAACTTGAATCAGGCGGACCCTCCGCTGCCACTGGCGCTTCTTGTTGAGCGTGACTGCTGCTCGGCTCTTTTACCAAACGAGGCTTGGAGGTAGTTACACTGCTTGCTTGACCCTTTAACACTTGTTCCGTAGAGGACTCGTCTTTGATATCGAAGCCGCCAGGGTCTAAGGCACTACTCGTGATTGTCGCCATGACTCCTTGGTGGTTAGGTCTTGCGTTCTCCATGATGTCAACGGAGCTCTGCCCGTTACCATGTCGATTCCCTGCCTATGTGGTCGAGCTGGCCGTGTCTATCCCTCCTCCCGGAGGAGGCAGGTGAGGAGGCATCATCGCTGTCGCTGTCGGTGACGTTTGAGCCAGTAAAGACCCGTTCCTTTTATACGCCACCGTGATCAGATGTAATCACTGCGCCGCAGATTGGGGAGTGATGGATCACAATTGTGTATCGCAACCAAGTGACAGGTCAAAAGTAATCATGGATACTTTTAGACCTATATTACTTAAGGTTTACGTGTAACTAGATGCCCTGTTACACTTTTGGTGTTGGCGCAAAATGCAAAAGTATTTTTTTCGTAAGTCCTTAAATCGCTAACAATGTGCTACATCTAAGCCTATCCTTCTAGTAGATTCTTTGATGGAGTCATCTCATGACGTCATCCCAGAGACGTCAGACAGTCCTGCCACTAGCTTCACCACATCCTGCAGCTTGATGAGGCGCCTTCTTTCTAACCGTAGTCTTGCCACCAATCTTGTCAATAGAGGTGAGGTCTAGCTGCTGTTATTAATGGTCACTAGTGCTGCAAAACAGATATTCATTTCTTACTTCAAAGTATGATGGATTTGTGTAGATGTCCAATCGTAGAAGTGAGTTTCTTTCCAGCCTGGCAATCATCGTGATCAGTGCGGTGTTCGTAAACACTGGTTGGGCCTCTTGTTCTGTCTTTTTCAGGGGACACACGCCAGATGACTCTCGATGGCTGATGGTGTTCAATGGAAACGTCCAAAGCCACTGGGAGCTCTTGGGAATGTCATTCCGCATGCGCTACGTTTGCCTTCCGTCTACTCTACAGTATACGATGTAAGACCCCACTCTTGGAATCTAATTGATCTTCATTGTCTTTATCTTCGTCGAAGTAGAGATTCTCTCAAGTTCATTTCGGACTCGTCTGGCTACATCCCGTTCGTCCTCTGCTAAAAAGTCGCTCAACACCTTTGCGCTTGTCTACAGCCGGGACGATCTTCTGGACTCTTTTGTGCTTTCTCCAAACACTGTAACTTGAATGCAATGATGCTGGTGATTTCATCCGTTTTCTAAAAGGAGACCATAGCATTAAAAATAGCAGACGTCTCGTTACTTGAAGTTGATATGTAATTGATATTGGTCCTTTTCCTCTATTGATTGGGTGGAAGATGCGAGTCTCTGATAACAACACTATCCTTTATCGCCCAAAATGAGTTCCGACGACAACGATGTTTCAGCTCTGCCATCCACACCTCAACCGGTCATTTATCTCACAGGTGATTCATTGACTCAGCGGGGAACTGATCCTGATGAATCTGGCTGGGTCGCGCTGATGCAGCATCGCTATAATCGCTCAGCCGACATTATTCCGCGTGGACTTTCCGGTTATAACACGAAGTAAGCTTTAGCCTCACTATTAGCAAGCATAACGCTATGATCAAAGATCGCACTTCTCAGTAAAGCTGATATCTCTATGAATATGGTCACTCGCTACAGATGGTTCATTGACTCAGCTTTGCCAGTGATTAAGCGTGAACTCTCTGGCGAAGTGCGTACACCTTCTCTGATCACGTTGTGGCTTGGTGCCAACGACGCTGCTCTTCCAGACGGCACTGCAGCGCGTCAGCATGTTCCTCTTGCAGCGTACAAGGACAACTTGGTTACGATTGTCCACACTTTCCAGACGAAAGCGCCAGAAGCTTGTATTCTGCTAATCACGCCGCCGCACGTCGACGACGCCGTCCGGAAGTTGCGCTCACCAAGCGGTTGTGCGGATCGCACGGATGCTGCAGCAGGTGAATACGCGCGAGCGTGCGTCGAGGTTGCTCGTGATTTGGGCATGAACGTGCTGGACCTGTACTCGTTCTTCCACATGTTGCCGGAGAAAGACCGTGCTGCGTGCTTGGATGATGGATTGCACTTCACCGCAATGGGAAACCGCTTGGTGGACGAACAACTGCAGGCGAAGATCAGCGAAGTGTTTCCTGGTCTCAGAAAGCAGCTTGAAGCGTGGCAGTTTCCCGATTTTCACATTTGGATAGATGCGTAGGGTTTCGCCAACCTTGCAAGGAGTTGTGAGATCACACCTCTGCAATTGGCACTGTTTGGCATTTCTAATTGAGGAGCAGCTAAGCGAGCAAACATTTAGGACTTCACTCATTAAGCTCAGTGTAGATATATGCAAAGTATACTCTGTAATGCTAGTTAAGGGACCGTTTGCCAACCTGTCTGATTTCCAACAGTATTTGTCCACAATGATAGCGTGGACGCGTGATGCGCGTCTACGTTATCCCTGTGGACCTTGTCCTTAAACGCCTTGGAGGATAAGGCGATTATACAAGCAGTGATCACGGACAGAACAAAAGGTGACCCCTTTGTCTTTCTAATAGTCGGACATGGCACCTCACGATAATGGTAGAATAATTGATCCTCCGGTGTGGAAGAATACGCCCATTCTGCGGAGGCAATGTCTTATAAGATGAAAGGACTTTGTGAGTATGAAGGGAAGAATGTTGACGCGCTTTTGTCGCAAGTCGTGAAGTGGGTCAACAGACTACTCATACAAAGATCGATAGCAGTCGAAAATGTTAAGCAGAAACATCAAAACTACTCAACACCGAAGCACTTGAGCCTCAAGGCGTCACCATCACATGTGCCTCTGCTCTCGGGGTCGTTTAGCTCACCTCAAAAGCACTTGCGGTGCACAACGGAAGGCCCTGACTCGTCGTATTCCGTCTTCGAAATCCACATATGCTGGAACGTAGCCAGTGAAGCCAGAATAGAGCCTCCAATCCAGACCGAGTACTTGCGCTCGGGTGGCGTAATAATTTTGACTTTCATCGCAGTTGGAGCTAGCTTGGTCATCTCCTTCATCATGCGATCACCGATCCCTGGAAACATTGTCGAGCCGCCTGATAAGACCACATTGTTGTATAAGTCTCGACGGATATCGACGTCGCACTTCATGATAGTCTGGAAAGTGCAACCATGGATGCCTGAACACTCGCGACCAATCATGGCGGGATTGAAAAGGACTTCAGGCGTACGGAAGCGCTCGCTGCCGATCACAATTACGTTTCCATCAGGCAGTTCGTACGTTTTATCAAGCGCCGACGACTTTGTCGCTTTTTGCATCTCCCCGTCGAAATCCATCGCCACATAGGTCAACTTTTCCTTAATGTCACGCACGATTTCGCGCTCCGCCGTCGTAGTGAACGAGTAGCCACGTTCGGTCAAAATCTTCATCATATAGTCCGTCAAATCACGGCCAGCCATATCGAGCCGTATAATGGCGTGTGGCAATGCATATCCTTCATAAATGGGCACTGTGTGCGAGACTCCATCACCAGAGTCAAGCACGCATCCTGTTGTCCGACCAGAAGCATACAATGACAGCACCGCTTGAATGTTCACATACATCGCAGGCACGCTAAAAGTCTCGAACATGATCTGCGTCATGCGCTCTCGATTAGCCTTTGGGTTTAACGGGGCTTCAGTTAGCAACACCGGATGTTCTTCCGGTGATACACGGAGCTCGTTATAGAATGTGTGGCTCCAGATTTTCTCCATGTCGTCCCAATTGGTGACGATGCCGTGCTCAATCGGGTATCTTAAAGTCAGTACGCCACGTTTTGCTTGCGCTTCATCACCAATGTAGGCTTCTTTTTGATTCATGCCCACCATAATGCCCAAGTGCTTCGGCATGCCAACAATAGAAGGAAACACAGCTCGTGGCGCGTCATCCCCCGCAAATCCCGCCTTGCACATACCCGACCCATTATCAATCACCACGGCTTGCACCTCTTCCTCCATGGTAACTTTTTTCTAAAATTGTTTTTCCAAAGAAATTGCAGAATGGCGATGTGTGTCGGCGTTGAGCCTTTGGATTTTAGCTTCGCATATTTATGAGCTCCTCAACTTTAACTCTAACTGTCGGGTCTCCAATACCTTTCGCACATTCGTCCATACCTTTCGGTACTACTAATTGGCTACATGTAGCAATTACATCCTACGCTGATGGACCATTGGCACGTTTCTGCTATTCTTTTCGGTGATGCAATTCCATACAATCACAGAGAAGAGCTGCAGGGATGTGTAATGTTGCCGTTGTTGATGCTCGTGAATAAGGACTACTTTATCGCTGAAAAGGATTGTGTCTTCACAACTTTTGTGCTTCCACCAAAGATAGAAAGAGAGACATCTGATGTAGTGTTATAGACACCTCTGATAATGGCACGTGAAGATGCAGGGTAGACAGCTAACAACTCGTGTATTTAACGTACATGCTTTTGATACGTCGATTTGCTGCATTTCATGGTCGTGACAATCAGCAGAAAGCCCACCGTTTATAATTGCGTCCTACATTACAGCCATCACCCCGATCGCCAGTAGTTATAACGGCGTCAGCAGTAGATGCAGTCAAGCCGTGCTCATCGACGGGTTTCACTCGTGGCGGCCATTGGATTATTTCTTCATCTTGTGCTTTTTTCAATTTTCATTTGTTCTTGCTGACCACTGCACTAATTAATACGTTTATCCTTATTATTCAGCACCATTTGCCAGGACTGGCAGGACGTGGCCTTTCACCGCTTTGCCACAAGCAACGTCGCCGCACTTGCTGCTGGAGTGAGCACCTGGCGCCAGGCCGGAGTCCGAGGGTTCCATAAGACACGCGGAGCGATCAGCAGTCATCCCCATACTTTAAGCTTGAGCCCCGGACCCGGAATCCATGCCTTAACTACCGCTAATACTGTGAACTCTCTGAACTACTAACGTCGCTGGACTTGGCATCAGCCGTTACGTGCAAGAAGTCGGACCGAGTTGCTGATATATGTGGCTGATGACTTTACTAACGGGTCTTTCAACCTTTTCTTTCAAGCAATATTGTGTATATTGTTTGAGTGCTGAATGCAATTTAAATATTGCATTGCTTCAATAATGCAAGAAAAACAAACTAGCTTTGTCTTCTATTTAGAAGAAAATGTCAATTAATTTAGTAATTTACCATACCTATATAAGGCTTTTATCATATATACTTGCTAGAAAATATCATTTTCCATTAAAGTCTGACCTCATTAGAATTTTATTATTTCTTCGTGTTTTTACCATTAAACTCTATAAACGATTTCATTAGCCCAAAATCGCTAGATAACGGATAAAAACTAAGTTGAATAGGCTATAATTCTAATATATAATCTATAATTTATTTAAGTTTTGTTGGTAGTCATCTAGATGCTTTGTTTTCTAACGACCCAAAAATGTCCGTTCCAGTAGATATTGTACTCTGCCACGGTACCAGGCCACGACACAATGACAGACCCAGCACCCGATTCTCGTTTCACGAGTAAGTTTAAAAATCCGTCTTCCAGGTGCTAGGCACCCCATTGGACATGTTCACAACGGATCATGCGCAGGCCGATGGTCAAACTGAGCAATTTAGCTGCGTAGTTGAGGATAATTTACGCAGCTTTTGTGCTGATACGCCTCGGCGTTGAAGCTGTTGCTCCCTGTTGTTAAGTTTGCACTCATTAACTCTGCACATGCCACTACTGGCTATACTACGTTCTATGTGTACGGCCTCACACACTCACGCGTTTCGTTAACGCTACCACTCCGTGGTTCAGTGCTTTGGAGAGGGGGAAACTTGTCGATTGGCTTGCTGATGTCGGCCCTGCTCCTGTTAAGTAATAGGTAAGCAAGTTTTCGCGACGCATTTGAATGTCTTACGACATGTGCGTGATGCAATGGCTGGTAGCTAAAACAAGCAAAGGAACAAGCGGATGGTAAAGCTGAAGCTGTATAGAAAGTTATGAGGTCTTAGACCAAGTCTTACTAAACGCTAAAAAAGGATATACCAAAGTAGTGTCGGCTGGGTGAAGACAAAGTTGCGCCAACGCTTCATTGGACCCTTTACGGTCGTTTCCAACAAGGGTCTATTTTTTCCTTCAACTCCAAAACACTCAATTTAACGCTATTTGGAAGGGAAGACGACACTAAGTCGACCCTTGCAGTCTTCTATGCGGTGAGATTGCGCGTCCACGTTAACTTGAAGCTCCTGCAGAGCTACGCGCACTTCGACTAGCGCGGAAGACCGATTGTCGGCCATGGAGACCGAAGTGGCGGAAGTACCGGCCGACTATGCGGGAGGCAAAGAGGTGGATACAGGAGGGCTATCAACGGGGGCAGTCTCGGCAGAACTCAAAGTTGAAGAGACTGGCCCGGAGAGGTCGACCAAGGGCGATTCTTCGGATGAAGGGTCAATCGAAGGTGGGGGGACGACTGAGGCCGGTTCATCAAGCGTTGGGTTTGAACCAGGAGAAGACATTGCTGAAACGACACAAGTTAGAAATGGACGACCAACAAAGGGCAAAGTGAAGGACTCAGGTGACGGAAGAGGTGAAGACATGCGCGTGCTGAAACCGCTGTACGGCTGAGCAAGTGCAGGGGGCGGCTATGGTGAAGTGCTTGTTTTGAGATATGGAGACCCCAGAAGCCAGTTGGATTAGGAGTATAAAAGCTCTTGTATCAGGGAAAAGAGACCAGATGAACAACTTACAGATTATTATCCAAATGTATATACTGCTGTCGCGGACGAGTTCTGCGGCCAAGTGAATGCAGTTGCTGGTCGCCAAAGCGCTACCGAGCTACGAGAAGAAAATGAAAAAATTATGAAGAATGAGATGACGCATCTTATGCAGGAGAAGTTTCTGGGTCTCCTCACGATCATTGGAGAGCGCATGAATCACCTTGAGGCGTCGCAGAAGCGGCAAAATGAGCAAGAAAACCTTAAAGATTACGGTCCAGCGTAGTTAGATCATCATTGGGGCAAGGCAAGGCAATATATCGGCAGGCCCTAGACGTGACGCCACCCCGGCCTCCACCACCCGCCGTATCGCCGGTCGCATTCTTTGGTATGCGACAACTGGAATACACGCAGGCGGCAGAACGCGTCGAGATGGCACAAGCGCCGCAGCGGTGATGCCGGAGTATTATGTGTCGCCTCGAGCATATCACTCGCCGCCAGTACAGCAACCTGTACGCCCGTCAGGTGCGCAAGTCGGGCACGTGCCTGACACAAGGCAACTAAAGCTGGGAATACACCCTTTTGACGGAAGAAGAACTATACTCAGGCTTGGGTAGCGGGTTGCTGTCGTTGGGCGGGCGATTCATGAGACAAGTGCAGTTTGCAGCACGCGCATGTGGATTCCCGTGCATAAAAGACGTTAAGGTCGACGTACTTGGGCATGACCTTATAGGGATGGCTGAACGCTGTTGTCATCAGCAAGTGGAGAGCTGGTGGAGGAAGAGCCGAAGCTCGAGCATGCGATGAAGCGACTGCTCCACGAAATTCACACCAGCCCAGAGTATGAAGATGCCTACTGCCACGAAGCGCGCTAAGAAGAACTGGAACGAGCACTATCTATTCCTGGTAGTTGTCAGCAAGGCGTGTGGAGGTGCGAACAATTTAGTACTAGAAACATCGTTTATTACGCAGACCCGGGCATGAGAGCATAAATGCCTTCCAGATTGCATTTGGCTCGTACCCGACTATATACGACAGACGGAGGAGCTAGCACATTTTTACCAGTCCACCGAAATAGATTTGAAAGGTAAAAATTATGGAAGAGACGTGGCAAACGTCGTACAGGACCAGAAAAGGGACAAGAAAAAGTGTTTCACGTGCGGCAAGGTGGGACATTTGATAGCATCATGTCCAGAAGCAAAAGTGGAACGACAACGAACGGAAGAAGCCGGCTGCGTACTGGCAGTAAAAGCCTTGCGCCGGGTATACTACTTACAGACAAGGTGCGAACAAAACAATATTGCCATCGTGCAAGGAAAGCAGACAAAATAAGCAGCCAAGGCATGATACAGGCAAGCATTCACCGATCGACGTACTTGGACGAGTCATATATTCCGGCCTAAAGAACCGATGTCTCCTCGGGGCCGACTGGGGGACCGCTTTTTGATAAACTTTCTTGATCACCGCCCAAAATACTGCCGAGTGTTCCTGTCGAAGACAAAATATGTTTAGGCCCAAAAGTCTAAGTACTTTATGGCGTCTTTTGAGCGGCAATGTAATTGTCGGATCCATATCCTGCGAGCCAACGAAGGAGGTGAATGCCAGACATTAGATCTCTTTTGCAAGGAATCGAGTATTGCGCGGCAAGTCAGCTAGTCGCGTATCAGGTGAGGAATGGTAAGGCGGAACGGATGCACCGCACTATTCTGAATATGGTGCGAAGCATGGTTTTTTGCATGTGGCTTATCCCTAAGCTTTTTAAGTGACGTCGCCTAATATGCAGCTTACATTCTGATCAAGAGTCCGAGCAAAGCCAATAAAGGGTCGCGATCGCCGCAGGAAATGCTAACCAAGACTGTGCAGGCGATAAGAAATATCGTTATATTTGATTTACCGAGCACAGTGCACCGAGAATCACGAAGCAAATTGCTTAAAGCGCGGGGTCTGATCATTGGCAAAACGATGAAGGGTATCTGGGCTTACCTATCGCGGGGCAAAATGGTAATTGTGACCCTGCATGCAAGAAACGTGGAAACATTGACCGAGGATAGAACGCACAGCTTCGACGCGTTTATCTCGCCAAATCTGATGAGGTAAAGAAAAAAGCAAATGAAGAATCCAAAATAAGCAACAAGGAGCGGTTTTGGCACAAAATCGAAGTTTCGCGGAGGAAAGAAGAGATATACGCATGATGAACATCGTACTGAATCAGTGGCACACAATAATGCTCATTCAACAGTGCTTCAGAATGAGAAGAGGATCGAGGAGACGCGGCATGTGGTAAACAGCG